CCCTTCAAGGATTATTAAAACCGGTAATCACCATTAGTGAAATTTAAATCGCTAAAAGGAATATCAATCCAAAGACGTTTCAGTACGGTTCAGTATTTACAAAGATATGATGAATTGAAAATTGATCATCGTTCGGCAAACGATATAAACAAACCAGTGTAACCCTTAAAATATTGGTCAATCTTTTGGTGGGCTTATTTTAAATCCAATTACATTCAAGCTAGAAAATATCTACATATACCGTTGATGGTCTATATTGATTTTGTTTTCTTAAATCTTAAATGATCAATCTAAGAACAATTTATCGTACATTAAGCCGTGAAAAATTAGATAAAGTCTATTGTCGATTAGCGGCACGGTCAATTAGCTTAGCATATGCCTACTGGTAATATCTAATTGTTACGATATGTAGACATTTTAAATTCAAAGAAACGTAGTACTTTAATCCCGAAAAGACCTAGTTTGTGCCATTGGGCGTTAAACCACAGTTACTGAAACATTTTTGTTGATAGTCCGTGCGGTCCTAAAACCTGAACTGTCGTACGGTACAATGTTTCTTGTCATTTTCAGAAAATGTATCCCAATATGTAAAATTCTATAAATCACGTATTCAGATCGATATGCACATCCACAACAAACATATAACTACAAAAACAGTAATTTACTGTTCAAAACGTTCATCTTTGTAACTTTGGCATCCCAAACTTAGGCTGCCTGTCTACAGATAGCTCCGCCTGAGAACAGGCCCTAAGCTAATTACCCGACATTTTAATTCCTACATCGACGATTTTAGTCGAAAACACTGAGTTACTTTTAGTAATTTTTAGAAGTAGTTATATCTCTTCTATTGTCATATTGAATGAAATTAAATATGTTTATTTAGCCGCTGTGTGTATGAAAGATGTCAAACTAATCAAAGCCGAATCACAAAATAGTCCTCTAATTATTCAATATGGCGGCGCCCATAAAAGGTAATTTCACAGGTTTTGTTTGCGAAGACAAATTTAGGAGTATCTAACCTTGTTTTGAAAGATAAACAAATTGAAACTCTAAAGACAGTTTACTGGCAAAGAATTTATTGCAATATTACCCACTAGTGCATATTATATATCGCTTTTACCGGATTGGCAGAAGTTGACATTTTGCTAAAGACACGTGTTTACATAAAACACGTGCGTTCTTGGGTTATTTTTACTCTGTTGTGTACATAAAGCTGTAGTCCCATCGATAAGTCCCGCCCCAAAATGATCACGTGAGCGTTTTAAATGGCGGCTAATTGGGGCAGTGATCATAATGACGGATGACGTAGATGGATCGCTGCGTGCAGTTTGTAACTTTGGCTGCCATTTTGTTTCGTCATATGTCGTAAACTCGATATAATTTTAGCTACCCCAGTTCTCCAGTAGAAATCACGACTTCCGAGCCAGTTTTTTATAGTTACGAACGCTATTTACAAATTCGTTAGTCGTATTTTCCATAAAACCGAGGAGTAACGAATACAGCATATATCTCCAGTGTCTGATAGTAGAACGCAATGTCTAAACTACTAGAACACCATAAAAAACTAAATCACTTCGTGAATCAAGTGACCAAATTCCGATATGGTTAAGTACGTGGATCGATTCAGCGCTCCCCGCAGCGAAGCGACAAGTAGATATATATTATAATATTTTCCCCAAACCCAAATCAGAACTATTATCTAAGAGTAAGAAATGCACTCAAACATCAAGCCCAAATATACTGAGCGCCATGGAAAACGCGTCACTTAGTTTTTCGTATAACAAAATTGGAATTAACCAATGTTTGAAAGAAGGCCTGGGGCAAATTGTTCCATTCTTGGACAAGAGCAGCTTCTAAAGCAGCAATGGTGTACATCTGTGGTCTCCGATACAGACGGCGTCCAATCTCATACCAGACATGTTCCATCGGTGCCATGTCCGGATAAAGATGAAAGCGACTCTCATCACTGAAGAGCACGCTTTGCCATTCTACTCTTCTCCATGTCTGGTGTCCTTGAGCCCATATCAAACGCCGCTGACGGTGATGAGGATAGCTCCAACATAAGGTCGTCGTACACGGAGTCCTACTTCTCTTAGACGACGTCTTACGGTGTTGGCACTTACTGGTCCCTGTCTTCCGACGACTGCTGCACCTGCTCGAGTCGCTGGACGGAATCTTGTCACGCAGATGAGTGACCCGGATGTAGCGGTCTTGAGCCTGGGTTGTAACGCGTTGTGGACCACGACGTTGACGGTCACGTGTTGATAAAGTAACCCGAACACGTTCCACCAACCTTACAATAGTGGACTGATGACAATTGAAGTGTCTGGCAATAGCACGTGTAGACATGCCAGACCTGGACATTCCCATGGCTTCATTCCTTTGATTTTCAGTTAGTCTCGGCATCTCTAGCTCGATTCCTTCACACGTCCAACAACAAATTACTACAGATTGACGTTTCACAGTTCATGTATTGCACATTAAGTTGAAACATGCTTTTAAAGGGCTCACACAAAATGCTGCACGTGAATTTTGGGTTTTTCATGTGCATCTCGTGCAATTTTTTTTGTGCACACGGGCCGATATTTTTTGCGTTTGGGAGCATTGTGTGAAACAATAGTTCACAGTATTGCATAATATTATACATACAAAACCACCTAGTAATAAATATTTGGGAAAAAAAGTGATGCGTTTTCCATGGCGCTCAGTATATTATACATACAAAACCACCTAGTAATAAAATATTTGGGAAAAAAAAGTGATGCGTTTTCCATGGCGCTCAGTATATATGAATGAAAATGAAAATCAACACCATCTGGTTGATATCAGGCTATTATCGACTCTGACAACCTTTCTGTGTCTTATTATGACAAGGTTTCCTTATCTGGGGAGTTTCTAACTGAATGAAACGCGCCCAGTTTTATAGTCGAAGCATGCACATGCGCGATAGTTGATTGGCTATCATACACCAAGCAAGTAGACAAATTGATGTGTTTGGGCGACTGGTTTGAAATCTTTTATGCACATAGGGCGACACTACCACATTTCCCCACCTTAAGACTGCGTGTGACAAAAAGTGTTTATTTCTTAACGGAACACCTTTCAAAACAAAAATACAAATGCATTACACAAATATATACAAAAATAGTTCTCTGTTACCGAAATGGACAATATAAATGAATATTTAATAAGGATAATTCGCGAATTCGTCATCGATAGTAGGAGCGTACAGAATCTCTTTTCTTGACTGGTCCATCATAATGATCTATTCTCCCGTTTGGTACAATTCCGGAGGTACATCGCGAGCATTCCAATAAGTTAAATCAATAGTTGGTGTAACCATATAGTCATCGCTTTGTGGTGGAAGTTTTTTTACCGCGTTGTCTTTCTTCTCACGTAGATTACCTGGGTGTTGGGGGAAGACATCTTCCGGGTCAATAAAGGCCTCTTTTACTATCAGAGGGAATCGCAGTATTGGCCGATAAAGTTCATCCGGCGTGGTTCCCCCTTAGTGATGCAGAACAGATGCAGTAATATCAGCCTTCCTTGTTAAATTTTATTGTTAAACTGGTTGACTTCGAAGGTCCCTCGTTCTCAATAAAGCATAGATGATAGCTGCTTGGAATATCCGGCTAAACTCTGATCAATTTCGCTCAACACTCTCTTTTACAACCCTCTTATTTCTGTACGTTATAGACTGACTTTGGCGTTAATTTCCTTCCAAAATATGGAATAAACACCAACATTCTCCCAAGACCAGAGGGAGAACATTACCTTATTTGGTCTACTAAACACATGTCATAAACGGATAGAATTTGATGGATATTTTGACAATGGTAAGAATTTTACCAAAATATATCTTTTTTTTATATATATATACCTGTCATTCATTTTCATTAGTACGTGGGATTTTAACTCTATAAAAAGTGTTAACCAATATTTAGTTAGAGATAAAATATATGATCTTAAGGACCAAAGTACTACACAGAAGACCAGTCAAGGGAAAACGTAGGCTCGTTCTGATGAGATGATGAGGTCCCATGTACATATTGACATGTACGTAAAAGAACCCTTGGCAGTTGAGCATGACCAAATTATGATACTATATCAAAATTCGATGGCCAATTATCCAGGGCCGATTGTCAGAACAAGATGTGTAGCGATTGGGGCCCAGGTCCCGGTGTAAAAACATTAGCGACTAGCTGTATCCTGTTATCTGTATTCAGTAATACCAACACAACATGATGGTGTTACTAGATTTGGCGCAATTTACTTCATTTGATACATTAAAAACTATTACAAATACCGATGAACAAGAGACATATCTTTGCCAAGAACACCGTGGAAAACGTTGAATATCAGAAAAGCAAGCTTAGGACACGTGGTATAAGGTCAACGGGGTTGCGGAATGTGTTTCGGTTCCACCATGCAAACATACATCATATATCAATTTTAAAACTTACACGTGACAGCATTATACTATCCTCGTATAATGTCATTACCATCTTTGTCCAAGGGTTTACATTTTCTTGTTGACTTTCTAGAAGTTATAATCATCATCAGATAACCTTGTAACAATTTGTTATGGTGCACAATTTTCAACAGATCGTTTGAAAACAATTTCAACGCGTTGCCACTGATGTTGATGAACGTTTACCATCCAGAAGGTTTTTACATATTAACCAGTATTGTAAACAGGAACGAGTTACAATTATGAAACGACCTTTGGGGGTGAACTTGAAATCTTATATCCAACCCCTCTCCCTCTCAATGTGTGAATATTGTTTATAGTAATTGTTATCCATAAATAGTGTTTTATTTCATTATGTTCCAATTACTAAATGCTATTCAAAGGTCATTTATTCTAATACAGACAAAATACAATAATCTTAGCAATCATAATAGATACTATTATTAATAATCTATAAAAAATATATTAATCTTAGCAATCATAATAGATACTATTATTAAAAATATATAAAAAATACAATAATCTTAGTAAGCATATAGATACTATTAATAATAATATACATAAAATACAATAATCTTAGTAATCATAATAATAGATACTATTAATAATAATATACATAACAAAATACAATAATACAAAACGAAATGATAAATAAGATATAATATATAGGCTACATAAAAGAGAAAACTTGAATATTTGCGAATGTGTTTGATATAGCAAATGAAACGAAATGAAATGGGGATGTCCTACTTTTCTGTCCCGACTAATGAAGACGGGCACAAGCCATACAGTGTGCTATGCTGGAATTTTGCAACGGTCTACTCTTTATTTTTCTGGTAAATTTTTAACACAACATTAAGACTATAGAGGACAAGGTACCCACTATATCAAATAAATCTGATTCTCTATAAAGGTCGATTCTTTCAAGGCAGAGACCAATAGACATAACATTAGCAATGCGAGACCTCGTTTTTACCCCAGTATTGTACATGACAAGGAGAATGGTCGCCTGCTAAACTCGTGTGTTAAAACTATGGTATCCCTGCCAAAATTCTCTGTGAGCAAGTGAACAATATATTACAATTATTGATTAACAAAAAAGTTGAAATATTGACTACATTAAAAAATCGACAATTAAAGTAAGCTGTAGACAATATAAACCCTTGGACATGTCGCCATAGTATCAATATTTATAATACAAGTAAGTCGGTGGACATGTCGCCATGATATCAATATTAACATTGAATATTGTCGCCATGGTATCAATATTTACAATTGAAATAGGCCCCTGGACATGTTGCCATGGTATCAATATTTACAAAAGAAGTAAGCTAGTTGACATACTGCCATGGTATCAATATGTACAATAGAACAATCCCAAGCAAAAAACACGGCCATGCGTAGTTTAAATGAGGAAGTTAATTTGAGACTGGATTTATTTTGGATGGAGGATGTTTATTATATAGAACTAAGACAGCTCATAAACTGTACGGGGTTCAAGAGATTCATAAACATCAACAGGTTGGTTATTCATCTCTAGTGTGTCATACAATTCGGACTCATTTCCTGTTCCTGGTGCTGTCGGTATATCCGAGGCGGTTCCTGTTTCGAGTCTGTTTTTGGTACATTTTCTGTTCAAAAGATAATTCGAATATTAAATATTCAATCTGGGTGTTGGCTGAACAGAATTCCTATCAATGAGTGCCTATTGAATGATTAGATGTCTGTGTTCCATAGTGATGGGCATTAGCGTCAGTCAAGCTTTCGCACTAGATGTGACATTACATACAGCTAGTTAGACACCTTCTATATGAAGACTCCTATATAATTTCAAACCACTTTCTATACACACTTAACATAGTTTAGAGTAATGATCATTTGTATGAATTAATGACAGCTTACCGTTTCTTGTAAATAACAACACCCACCATCACAAGCCCGAGTATAACTACTTACCGTTTCTTGTAAATAATACGACCCATCATCGCAAGCCCGATTATAACAATGCTGACAAGAACACAAATTAGAACAGTTTTATAGATATCAGATGACGATGTCTGTTGTCCAGGTGATTTAGACTGCAGAGTACCTATATCAGATAATGACGTATGTTGTCCAGGTGTTGTAGAATCCATTGTTCTTATATCAGATGACGCGGTCTGTTGTCCAGGTGTTGTAGAATCCATTTTACCTATATAATAATACTACATGTAGTTCAATCTTGTATGTTCCCTCGTAATTAATTATGTTGAATGTCCACGAAACATTATCTAACTATTTGATGGATGGATGGATTGATTGGACTAGAATCGTTTCGTTTTACACACGAGGTCGGAACAGTCTCCCAGCCACACTGATCAGCAGTGAATATTTGCTAGGTCGCTACAATCACTGATAAGGATGACATCAATGCGACTTAATGAGTCTCAAATATTAACTTTTTTCCACCGACAAATTAAAATCTTAAACATTTTTTTGATGTTTTAGAAAAATAAATAAAGACGTTTGACGTATTTATTGGTAAAAATTATTTCCTATTTAGTGTAAATGGGTATTAAAATGACTAAAAGGCAGCATTCTGCCCGAAGCAGTAACGTCTTGTGTAAACAATGCACGCGCCATTCAGCCAATGATTGACGCCGCGTGCTGTGACGGCACGTGTTAAAGGCGGTCATCTTTTACAGAGATATTAGAAGACTCGTAATTCTCCGTGAAACAGATTGTCTCCCAGCAGATACGAGGTAAATACGCCGTGGAGAAGGGGTCAGGACTCTTTTTTGTAAAACAGTACATCTCCTTTTACTTGCCCTTCAATTGACCCCTTTCCGTTTGTAACTGTTTTATGGCCAGAATTAACCAGATTTCATGTACAAAACCAAGCGTACCTTTTTGGTTCAAAACAACGGAGGTAACGCGCAAAACTTTTGAATTCAAATATCCAAATAATGCAATGCAGGCATCCGAACTAAAAAATAAAACGTTTCTTGAATCGATTAAACATCTACACTTCCGCCATTTAGTTATTTCTCTTAGCGTCTACTTTACGTCCCCCTTTAATGTTATAACCTCAATTTGCTGTTGTGTATTAATGCATGTCATCTTTAGGGAGACATCCAAATAAAATACTGTCAAACTGTTTGAATTACCTTTTAGATCTGTTGTTTGAATTGTCGATGTAACCTTAAATGTTGGTGGTATATAATAACCAGTCTGGCATCCCGTACAGTTGACCTTGATACGACCTTGATAAGCTATATAAAGTAAAGATATCTATTATTAAGTGAGTTGTATTCAGATATTTAGAATACAGTAAAATAAAAAGGCGGATTAAAGTAAACAGTTGAAAATGATTGTAGCTACAGGCTGGTGTTGTAGGGTAACCATTGCATATATCAGATGATTGTAGCTACAGAGTGATGTCTATCTCTTCGAGTGGTGTTGTAGTGTAACCATTAAACAGCAAACTCTGTTGTGAATAAAACTGTAGACAACCTGTTTATCCTAGCCTCAACCGGAATGTGAACACTGTCAAGTGCCTTTGACGGCGAAGCACATTTTGATCGGGTGCAAACAACTTGGCAATATCAAAATATTACCATTGTCAGACAGTACACCATTTATTTGCTCAACCGGAACTATATTGTAAGGTCCTAAACTTTTTAAAAGAGACAAAATTTTATTATAAGTTTTAAACTGTATATACGTAACCCGTTTTTTCTTTCATTTTTATTGTTAATTTTCATAAAGTATTTGATATTTATTTTTAATTTTATATATTATCTGTGATATTTGGTGGTTTTTTTGTGGTTATAAATATATTCTTGTTATTTCTTTTATTTTGTCTCGAATAATGTCACCATATGTTTGGCGCAATATAGACCGGTTGGAGCTGACGTGCCATAAAACCACATTTCATTTCATTTCCTAGCTCGTTTTACTCTATGAAGCTTTTCTCGAGGAAATGGAAAATGAAATTTTGATTTGTATAATTTTTCTTTTTCCGTCTCTATATGTACTGTATTTTATAGTTTACAGCATTTGTGCCCCATAATTTACAGCCCGAACAAACATCTTCTTTCCTAAAGCATCTGAAATAAAAAAAAACTGAGCCACAAATAATGGACAACGTCTCATAGTAGACAATAAGTGGACACATATAGCGTGTTAAAGACCCGCTGATATAAGACTATTCGTAGAATTTCTTGCTCTTTAAATTAATAATAGCATTATATTGTATCTTTAACTAAGTCAGATCTAGTGCACTCAAATGATGAGTGATATATTTACACATAAAAAGAGTTACAAAACTAAAACATGGCTAGTTCTATGTGAAAACAAAATATCACCAGATAACACGTATAAAACTTCTGGTGTAAGTTTCAACTATCCATATAAGGGTGGTTTTAGACGTCATTAGGCTAATTACCCAATAAATGAATTAATTACGCCATATTTGACCAACTAGATAATTGAACGTCCAAACCCAAAACTACAAGACTATCATATCTCTGAGCATTCTTCAGACAGCCGCTTGATTCCAGCAGAAGATGTGGCAATTTCTATCAGATCACAAGGCTATGAAGATATGTAGTATGAATAGAGTGCATGGGTAATACATAGGATGTTGTGACCAGATTTGCGTGGCCCGCTTTCAACGTCTGACAAAAGACCCATAATACTACACTGATACACCCCACCATATAATGGATGATAAAAACAAAGGATGGCGTCATAACAATACTTTAACCATCAATGTCCATAAAACATGACCATTAGAAGTTTTAACTTCTATTGACTTCACGCCGCCCTCTTTTTTGTTTCTGATAACAAAAAATAATAATACGTGCAAAGTAATCGATTATTACCCATATTCATTCTTTACCTTTAAAATCAATCCATATTTTATAACCGAACAGTGGGAAATCGTCACCTTGATAAACCAGGTAAACTGATCCTTTTGTATGTTTTAATTGTTTATAAATCAGATATTTGTAACCCCACAAATCAACATGTGTCATGTCCTTGTTGTTCGCGTCATAACGAACTGTATCATCTCGACTATAAATCATCACACTAGCATTATAACTACGAACATAAAGGCTAAGAAACGAGACCGTGGTAGCAATATATACATCATCATCATCCGCTGTGATCTCACAACTACAGTAGAATTGGTTATCAATGCTAGACAGATCAAGCCTATATTGATTAGACAACGAGAACCTTTTCAAGTTGTGGTTTATCCCAGGTTTGAACATATTTATAATCGACGTATCTGAAATATAAAATCGCTTGATCTTTATATAGATGTTGTTTACTTTGCTTTATTTAACATCAAATTACATGGATGTCAGAATTTATTTTTATAAAAATAATGATACAGATTAGAATAACAAAATGAAATGGAATTGCTATCAGATTAGACTTTCTTTCCCTTTCCTTTATATCGTGTTAACATTCACACTACAGTAAAGTTTAACAACATCAGTTGATCTAGCCAGACATTTCAGACAGTAAGTGAAGTGAAGTGATATGTAATGCGCTGAATTCCTTCAAAGGACAATAACCACCATCAGACTTCATAAAGTACAGATAACCCATAGCAAAGTCCTTAGATCGTCAAGTTAAGGTAGATCAACATAATATAGAACTATATGAAAATATTGGACGATTTGGGGGGTTTAATAAAATGAGTATTAGATGCGAGATTACGGGTTTGAATTACCTATATTCCTAAGCGAACTACGAAGGTGTTAATAATCTTTTAGAGGCATTTAGTAACTGTGTTTGTGTATTACGAAGGTGTTAGGCGATATCACATTAGTGGAAACGGGCTTCCAATAAATCTATTTCATATTGTGCTCGTTTCCCGGCATTTTCCATGGCATTCTCCAGTGCGATAATATTGGAAATTTCAGCGAATATGATATCAACTATTGACTGAAAGTTGCTAAACCTCTAACTGAATATTATCCATAATATTCGAAATTAAAAACACAAATTGAAATTCGAGTTTGGTATATTTTAAACAATATCAATCTTACCGTGAAAATACAGAATACTAATATCAAGTATTAGAGACGGTAAACATTTTACAAACACTACACGATACGTATATTCTATGGATATAATGGTTTCGAATAACAAAAAAAGAGAAATGTATCGTAGGAGAAGTTATTCAAATGGCGGATTCACAAACGACAAAATAATAAATACAACACAAATCGCGTAGAATGGAGTAAGCAGGCGCATACAACTGTCGTATTTCACCGAACGTAATTGATCAGAAATTATAATAACATTTGTTTTTGTTGGTTTTTTGTTTAAAAAAAAAGGGTATAAATCACTTTATAATCACCTATATATTAATATGTGCTTTTAGACCCATTTCTATAGAAATACGCCCTGTATTGATCGGGAGAGTTTGGATGAGATCATTGAGTGATTTTAACAGCTATAACTGAATACTTACTGCTAACACACATATATTCAATATGGGATATTAAAGTTTGAGATGAACAATTATCGTTACGGTTACTAGAGCTATGACCAATAATCCAATTTATAGAACACGTAGGAGATAATATACATGCTGATATATAGATATACAAGTATCCAAGATAATTCTTGTCATTTGCTTCTACGGTACAGATATTTTCTGGCATCCTCTGACAACAAGTCTGTTCTTCTGTTTTATTGTAATAACCCAGTGTAACATTAGTTATCATAATAACGTGGTATGGATCACAACTTAAGTTAAAAATTCTGCGGTCATTTACGCAGGTAGAATTTTCATCACACAGAAATCCCTGTTTAATCACTTGTCCATTACCTGAAATAAAATAAAACATACCAGCAGGCCACTAGGTGTAACATATCACGTTAAAATATTACTACCGATTTTAGGGTAATTTCTCTCAATAAAGTACGAAAGATCAGAAAATAATCGGCATGATCGGGGAACCTGGTTTATGGTATGGTAATAAGACCTACCTTATTCAAACCTGTTTTCCAGACTATGAAAAATAGATATATCTCTATCTAAACGAGCCGATTTGTGGTTTAGAAGTAATAAAATATAACTTATCATAAATTCTTATTCAAAATCTTAGGATTTCTTTGGAGCATAGGCCGCAAATATTAATATCTTTCCCTGTGAAAACATTGCAGGGAAAGTTGATGAATATAGCAAAGAATGCACCTTTTACAGAATTCTCGCCAAGGTCCATTTAACAAAGTTTCTGATAACTACTAGAGAGACAAAACAGCGGACAAAATACCATAAGAAAAGGGTTGTTTGGGCGAGGCGTAGATACATGTTTTGATAAAACAACTTACCATACGACTGAACAATAAACATAATCACCATGCAAGACATTAAATTATATATCGCCATGTTGTCAATTATACAATCTTCATCAAACTACAAAATATAATATTTACATGTTGTATATTACGCAATCGTCTATGATACAGTGGTCGCCATCCTTAAACAATATTTACCATCGGTAAAGGTTAAATTCAATTCAGAAGGAAAATATACGTATATTCGAGAAGCATGTCCACTTAATGTACGTACTTAAATGCAGTCTTGCATTTTTGAGATGCAGTGTCCAGCCCAACAATGAAGTGATGACGCCACCCATATGATGACACTAAACCGAGACGTGCTCGAAGTGAAAAATTTGATATCTGAAGTGTTCATTTCTACCACACTTCCGTAAGAACGCTTCAAATTTTCAATGAAATAAAATGATGTTGAAGTGAGGATGACACCATATCAAATATGCAAATTAGGCTTCCACGAATTGTTCACTTCAACCCATGCTTATCAGGTGTTATTCTCAATTCAACTCAGTCCTTATCTGGTGTTTTTCACTCTTCAACTAAATGCTTATCGAGTGTATTGCTCACTTCAACCCAGCGCTTATTGAGTGTTTTGTTCACTTCAACCCAGTTCTCATCGTGTGTTTTGATCACTTCAAACCCGTGCTTATCGGGTGTTTTTCTCACTTTAAATCAGTGCTTAGCGAGTGTTTTGCTCACTTCAACCCTGTGCTTATCGGGTGTTTTTCTCACTTCAACTCAGGGCTTATCGAGTGTTTTGCTCACGTCAAACCGGTGCTTATCGGGCGTTTTTCTCACTTCGACCCAGGGCTTATCAGGTGTTTTTCTCACTTCAACTCATTGCTTATGGAGTGTTTTGCTCACTTCAATCCAGTGCTTATCAAGTGTTTTGGTCACTTCAACCCAGTGCTTATCGGGTATTTTTCTCACTTTAACCCAGTGCTTATCGGTTGTTATTATCACTTCTACCCAGTAAGGTTGCAGACTTCAACAATGTGGGGCCTAGCTCACACACCGGGTGGGGGTGTATTTGA